AGGATCACGAGAACACTAAATGTGAATAATGAGATAAATTGTTACGATTCACTACCTGTGAAAATAAGTGTATTGAAAATCTTTTAGCCTAGAGCTCGTAAGAATAACTGCACATTTTGATATCTTCTATGGTAATTATATACGTAACATCAGATATTAGCGCCTAAATTAGGCTTATTACAGAATAACAAATTAAATCGTACGCCTAAGTATGATAATGTTGATAATATATTTTTAATAACACTACAGAAGTAAACAGCGTTTTATATTTTTAATGTGCAATTTAGTAAAGTTTTTATTTATGTAGCTAATATATTTCGAACAATATACTGTGCGTTCAAAATTAAATTAATGCTATTATTATTAGCCACAAATTACTTGTCATTAAAGAATAATTGCTACATTAGAACATTTTCAAAAAATATAAACACCAAAAAAAGTTTTTATAAAAATATTACTTTTTTGTGTGTAAGAAATGGATTTAGTGTGTGGTAAGCAGGCATACTACGTGTATTCTACCCTTTGTTTAATATAAAATATTCCTAATGACCTTTTAAACTTCTATCTTTAATATTAAAGATAGTCCCCTCAATGAAAAACAGATTTATATGGTGAAATCAAACGAAAAAAAAAAAACCGTAGATTTCAAAACCTATGTAAGCCTATCGTTAGGCCTAAGCATATACGAAGGATACGTTACAGAACTCTTATCTTGTGATTGTGAATGGTGTACCTTCTAACCAATTTAATAATTTAGTCTTTTACATGGTTGAATAAACCTCATACTGGTAAAGTAATATATTTAATATTATTTAATTAAAGAAGCTAATATCGACTTTGAAACAATCTATATTTTCCCAAAGGTTACGTTACATAACTAAGCTGCATCAGCGCATGTGTGTTGGCATACCAATTCCATTCTTTTTAGCCTAATTTAATTAAAGAAAACTTTCGAGTAGTTAATATTAAAGTTCCAATAAGTACATAAATATAGAATAATTTTTTCACCATTACTAAGAAGTTCTATACAGAAATATAGTATAGAATTAGAATACAGAGGCTCTTAAAACATAGAGATAGAAATTAGAAGTAAAAGTTGGTATCCTGATATATTCTGCAGGGTACCGGATACTGTTTTTTAGCCCATCTAGATACCATTACCAGCAGAATACCGCCTTTAGGCCCCCTTCCGAATTTTTGGATATACTTTTTGGAAAGAATGGTTATTGTTTATATTTAAGCATCTTTAGATAGATATTAACTATTCTGATTATTGAATAAAGTGTGAAATTTAAAAAATAATAATTAAAGGAAGCTAACAATTTCGCCGATGACAGGAGATTTTTTTATAACTCCCAAAATTTCGATTTAGAAACTTATCTAAATATGAGTACAATGAAATACTCTACTAGGAAAACAATATTAATTAAAGAATAACTGATTACAAAATTAAGTAAATACGTGATTAAAGACAAGTGTGTAGCAAATGAAATTTGTTAGCGTAATTAATAAGTTTGTTGAATTCAGTATTCTTAAACTCGAATCTTCCTAATGCAATATCAATACACAGTGGATTATAACATCCAAAGTCTTATAAGCTCAAAATATATTTACATCATTCATTTTAACCCTGGATTAACCAATGGAGTGATGTAGACGTCATAGACTTTCCTAAATTATTAGTCCATGACAGTTGGTTACAGCAGCGTTTCCAAAATATTTGTCATCCACGCCCACCTTTAATGAATATCCTCTCTTGCGCGTTTCCCTCTTTTTTTTTTCTTTTAATGAGTGAAAGACTGAATTAAATGACAAGATGTAATACACGGATACGCATTAAAATGTTATATTTGTTGCAATAATTACTCATTATTTTTTATTAATAAAAATATATTTAAACATTATTGCATTATTGACTTCCTAATCCCTTGCCCCCCACCAAAGAGATCATTTATGCTACCTTGGGGAGGCGCGCCCCACACTTTGGAAAATGCTGGGTTACAGGTTTCCTAATAAGTATGTCTCACACACACGTACTTAAGCAAAAACACCATCAATATTCGGGTAATTCCACTAATTAGTGCTGGGGTCTCTTATGTATTTTACATAGAAAATCAGTGTCTCCACTTTTTTTTTTTTGCCAGTTCTTTACATCGGGTGTAGTAATAGACAAAAATAACGATTACTCAATATCATGTTAAGTCGGTATCATAAATAAGGTGGTAATTTTAGGGTTAAGAGACATCCATTCGATTTGGACTTAAACAGCTAACGAGATGTCAGATACTTATTTTAGGAGGTAATACGTTTACTATGGATTTGTATTCTGTAAATCATGAAGGTTAATTCTTATAATACTTTATATTAATTACTATTAGTACTGCAGATAATACTATAATAGCCCGACATTGTAGTTTGGTGTAAAAGTAATTTCATCGGATCGGTATGGCTTGTATTTTATACCGTGTTTCATTGTAAACAGTTAATATATGAATACTTTTATTTACAGTTTTTGTTATTCTGTAACAGACAGTCTATTAGAATTCTTTGTAAACAAACGTTATATTTATCATTAGATAATAAATTAGTAATAAAATGAACTTTTTTTTTTAAATGCAAAAAAAACAAAAAAAAAACGTAGAAACAATAGAACGCATGGTACGTGGTATCTTGATTGATCTTAATGGAGGACAGATCACAGATGGACCATTTTGTGGCTTTGCGTTAAAAAACTAATATTCGTACAGCCCGGGTGTTTCATTTGTTTGTATGAATATTCTGTAGATTCTAGTGATGGAGCCGAATATAAACATGGCTCAGTGGTTAGCGTGCTGGACTGTGGATCTGCGGGTCCATTATTCACATACCGTTACTGAAAGAAATAAAAACTCTTACTCCGCACTTTGGGCCGTAGGTGCCTTATAGAGGTGATGATGAAATCCCACTATTCCACCAGGCAATAGTAGTCTAAGAGTTGGCGGTGAATGGTGTTGACTAGCTGCCTTCTCTCCTGTCTTAACAGTTCAAAATTAGGGACAGGTAACGCAAAATACGTTTGAGTGGCTTTGCGCAAGTATCCGAAAACAAACAAACCAAATTGAATAATGCATGTGTGTTAAAACACCCGTGTAAGTAATCAAGGTCAGTAAGGTAGGTGGTCATTCGATTGCGCACAGATTCTGAAAGGCTTGTTTACAAAATCACAGCGAAACAGATATTATTTTGTTTCCTTATCTCGGTTATTGGCATGAAAGATACTCTTGTCTCATTAAAGAAGAATCGCGTAAAATGCTTTAAGATGTTTCGAAAAATGAACGTCATGTGATTATATTTATTCTGCACAAAACAAGATTTTTAAGAACTATATTGATAAAAATGGTTCATCAATACATCTATTATCTACAGATTTTAAATGTCTCCTGGTGGGACAGCGGTAAGTTTACGGACTTACAATGCTAAAATCCGGGGTTCAATTCCCGATGTTCACACAGCAGATAGTCAAACGTGGCTTTGCTATAAAATAAACAGACTTTAAAACAATATTTGTTTTTTCATTCATAGGTTTTAGCTTTTATTCAGCAGCGGCTCATCAGAATGAATAAAACATTCTTGTCTTTATATTGTTTGGGACACGTATGTGTTTTAATCTTGTTAGTTTATTTTGTAGACGTTTGGTAAACCATTTCTGAATACTGACTCTAACTCCTCACGTGCTAGCCAAACATCCATTCTCGAGCCTATTTTCATTCACCTATTTCACGTTCATCTGTAGATGCACACTATTATCTCTGGTGGTTAGATTTGAAACAGCTGCTTCTGCTACGTGGATGACAGCTCACGGTTTTAGGACGACGTGCACGAGCTCCGCCTACAACACATCCAGAAATCTGTCTAAAGTAACCCGCAGTAGTTTTTGTTTCTGTTTTTATTATTATTATCTTAGTCTAATCAGTTTTCACCGAATATAATGAATCACTACAGTTCAATAAGTAATCGTTTATGGAAAACGTTCTGCTTCTTCAAGTACAAATTCATCCCTCACTACACACTTGAGTTTCGTTTACAGATGGCGCTTCGCTGTTTTTGCTCAACTGCGTACTAGCTGTCTCGATATAGTGACTCATTAAATTTAATGTCTACCCTTAAGGACTTTGCTGTAACATTAATATGCTTTTTTAGTTTCTTAAAGATAACTTAAAGTTCACAATAAGAAAATATGATCGCGTAATTGTATCTGTCATAAAAATCTTTTATCGGAGAGCTTAAGGAATGTAAACTCTCCACTTTAAGTTATGTTAGGTTTTACACGTTGTTATGTAAACACTCCATTTTAGGTTTTGTTAGGTGCTACACGTTGATATGTAAACACTCCATTTTAGGTTTTGTTAAGTGCTACACGTTGATATGTAAACACTCCACTTTAATTTTTGTTAAGTGCTACACGTTGATATGTAAACTCTCTACTTTAAGTTCTGTTAGGTTTTACACGTTGGTATGTAAACACTCCACTTTAATTTTGTTAAGTGCTACACGTTGATATGTAAACTCTCTACTTTAAGTTATGTTAGGTTTTACACGTTGGTATGTAAACACTCCACTTTAGGTTTTGTTAGGTGCTACACGTTGATATGTAAACTCTCCACTTTAGGTTTTGTTAAGTGCTACACGTTGTTATGTAAACACTCCACTTTAGGTTTTGTTAAGTGCTACACGTTGATATGTAAACACTCCACGTTAAGTTTTGTTAGGTGCTACACGTTGATATGTAAACACTCCACTTTAAGTTTTGCTTTGTGCTACACGTTGATATGTAAACACTCTACGTTTTGTTAGGTGTTGCACGATGATGATATCTGAACAGCGAAAGCAAGGAAAAAAGAATTTGTTCATAATATATTTTTATATATTTTAATATGTAAAATCTGATCATATATTTTTAGATTTAGCAAACATATCACTGTTGTGCTTTTAAGTATTTTTTTATTTTATTTTTACTCAAGCCTCAAAGTACACGATGGAACCAAAAAAGGTGTTTACAAATGATAATCGGAGTTCAAGAGATTTTCAATCAGTCGGATGTGGGCGAGAGTTATGTTGCGGTAGCACACACAATGGAATTGACCACAGTGTAGCAACAGTGGCCAAGGATGACTTTCCTGAAAACACACAGTCGACTGACTACAGGGCTGTAACAGCAACAAAAGAATGTTTCTCGAAAACTGCAAACAGTGAAGTTGACCACGATGCAAAAGAAAAACCTAAAGAATCGAATTTTCTGAACATCTTTGATCATTTGGATCATTCCGTCCTTCAAACTCCTTTTACTATTGGTGTGCCCAGTGTTCCACGGGTTCTCCAGTATCTGAAGAATGGCACCCAAGAAGTTAAGGATGTGATCTTAAACGAATGCAATTTGATTTACGAGTGTAAGGTTTGTCATAGCTTGTTTCGCAGTCTTGCTAATCTCTTAGCACATAAACGCTTCTATTGTAAGAAGTTTTCAAATGAAAGTTTTGTGCGCATTGATAAGAAAACCAGTCCTTCTGTTCCTGATAAATCAGTAAACAAGCGATCAAGTCTAGATGCTCATAGTGTCCAAGGTAGTGACGACACAAGTCCATCTCACTTGGATTGTAGTTCATCTGTTCAAACCGAAGAAAATAAAGAAAGGTATGTCCAAAGAGATCTCACGAACACCCCTATTGTAAGGGAATCTTCGTTTTATATCGATAGTCTACAGAAGGGTTTGAAAAAAAATGCAGGTTATGAAGAAGTAGCAGTAGATTTAAAACCAATAGAAGGCAATTCAAATGCCGTATTTCAGGTGATTACATCTAGTCATATAGATATTAAAACAAACAATGAAATGCCACGCGGTGAACAGGGCATTGTACAAGTCACTCCAGAGAAAACAACTGAAGATAAATTGACCCTTGCAGAGGATTGTATGCCGGATGAGTTACCGCCTTCAGGTGCACCTTTCAGTAGGGCGAAACGTCTTGGAGGCAGGTCTGATTGTAACATTAAGACTTTAACATGTCTCCGTTGTAGAACTCGTTACACGTCTTTAAAGACGCTTAATCTCCACATGATGACAGTCCATGCCCAAAAAAGAACCTATTTCCCATGTCCTTTCTGCGAGACAACCTTCGTCCAAATGTGGGGTGTTACTCGGCATTTAATGACTGTCCATAAGAAGACCAAAGGTCAGGTGGATCGGCTTAGAGGAAGAATTAAGCGTCGAGCATTTGTGAAAAAAATCGAAACTGATACTTCAGGGACTGATATGGAAAGCGGTCAGCAGAGCAAGAATTCTCAAGAGATCAACAGTCCTGAAAGCGATTTACGGCACAATTTGAAATATTTCAAAAAGCAATCGCAGACCAATCGAAATTTTCAATTTCATCACTGTTCCAAGTGTTGGAGAGTATTTGGTCGCCAATCTTCTCGGATCAGTCACGAAAAATTTTGCTTCTTTAGTCCAAAAAAAACGAAAAAGAAGCTTACAAGTGAAAAAGATTCGACTGAAATTTTAGCTAATGCCCGTGAAAACGTTAGATTAAAATTAAACAAGACAATAACTAAAAAAAATTTAATTACGAAAAGACAAAAGAAAATTGTTAGAACCCCTAAAAATGGCGTCCTAAGTTGTTGTTTGACACAAATTCAACATCCAGATTTAGAAGAGAAGGTTTTAGCTTTAATTGATAGCGATACTCTAACTTGTCAGAAATGCAACAGACGATTTTCAACTTTTTCAAATCTTCGGCGGCACGTAGCCATTCACGTAGGTTGGCGTCGATTTAAGTGTAAGCATTGCTCTTATCAGGCATACAATAGGTCGGACTGTCGCAATCATGTGAAACGCATCCATCTTGGCTTGGGGGCAGCTACTGCCAAAGTTGAACGAATGATTGTGGACCTTCCTACTCTTAATGCTACGTCAATAAAGCTGGAAAATGAAACTAGTCCTAACAGTGCGGGTCACGTGACAACGCCACCAAGTTTACAGGTTTCTTCTGCAAAGTCGAAAAAAAAAATAAGTGGAAGGACAGAAATGGTTAAGCCTGATAAAAAAAATTCGACATCTAATGGATCGGGGTCAGAAAAATACAGGAATCGTCGATCCAAATCTAATTCTTCTAGTCGCTCTTCTTCTCTAACTCCGAAAACTTCACCATCTGATGGTTCATTTAATCATAATTCCTGCTTTTCCCGCCATTCGTCTCCGTCTGCACCATTCTATGAGCCGAGTTCTATTTCTACGCTAGTTACTCGCGCAGGGGTTTACCCGAAAAAGTGTCGCGTGGTATTTGCATCCAAAATGGGCACCTCTACCTCACGCACGGAGAGAATGTCGGATCTATCTACCCAACACTCTTCTGCTTCTTCGGGTAAGGATTGAAAACGTCTTGGGACAGAATGAACGGGAAATATTGAAGTCATTTAAGTAATAGAAAAAAGAAATACGTTTCAATCTCACAGAAACTTCATGTAACTTGTAATATTTATCATATCGATTTGTACCATTAGCACAATTACAGAAAAGGTGAAAAACGTTCTATCAGCGCGATTTGATGTCGAAAGGAGTTGGTTAACGAAACATCAGTTAATTATTTTTTATCAAATACAAAGATAAATTTGACTGGATTTTTTAGTTATTTTTAAATGTATGTATATATATATATAGCATGATATAATTATTCTGAATTTTTCGTTTAAAATTGCATTGTTATCATATAAGCCATATACGAATGTTTATACGGGGCTTCCAATATAATATACGCTCTGTTTACCAGCTAGAGTAAACCAATCATTAAGACCAAATGTGGCTTCGAGTTGTGATTCGTAATTTTTTTTATTGTTAGTCGAAAATTTGATTGTGCTAGATATAGGCATTAAATCAACCAATTTTTATTAAGCTTGTTTTGTGCGCTTTAAAGCTTATAGCACTAACCCATCATTTCTAAAGTTTGTATTCCAACTAAAAGTTATAGCTCGCCATCTACTGGTCGTAATTATAATTAATGGAGGTAAGCATACAAAGTCAGTTTTGAAATGATATTTTTCTACTACACAAACACTATGAGTTAGTCATTGTTTGTATATACTGTATCAACAGAATAAATGTTTGTCAGGCAAATTAAGTGTCATTATTTAAATTTTGTCATTATTGCTTCACAATCCAACAATAAAGTCATTGAGGTTGTGTTTTTTCTTTTAACAAATGTAAGTACATTTAATGATTTCGTCTTTGAAATAAAATGTTTTTAAAAATGCTCTGTTTCTTCTTATCTTAATATTTTGTTCTAGCAAAATTGTTTACAAAAGAAAAGACAAAAATCTGAACGATAAAGTTGGGGAACAGTAAAGAAAGGTAATAAAAAATTCGCTCTACAGAAAAAGCTTACAGGTGCACGTTCCCTACACATCAAACTACGGTTAAAGATATTATATTTTATTGATGTTTTTTTTAATTTTTACTTTACATTATTTTAGTATTCTTATTTTACATGGATTTTAAAAATTAATAAATGTTTATTTTGCAAAGATTTTAATGAATTAATGCTCATTTTTTCGTTATTGTACTTTCCGATAAGTAGCCGGGCTCTTAAATAAACTACATAACCAGTACTTATTGTTACGTCTGTCCTGTATATTTTGATGTTATTTGTTAGTTAACCACCAGTATAACCTTGCCTATCTGTTTAACAAACAGTATAGCCTTGTCTGTGTGTTTAACCACCAGTATAACCTTGCCTATCTGTTTAATTAACAGTATAACATTGTCTATGTGTTTAGCCAATTGTATAACCTTGCCTATCTGTTTAACCAATAGTATAACCTCGTCTGTATGTTTAACAAATAGTATAACCTTGTCTGTGGGTTTAACCACCAGTATAACCTTGCCTATCTGTTTAGCCAAGTGTATAACCTTGCCTATCTGTTGAACCAACAGTATAACCTTGTCTGTGTGTTTAGCCAACTGTATAACCTTGCCTATCTGTTTAACCAACTGTATAACCTTGCCTGTTTAGTTAAATTATCAGAACTTAGAGTCAGATTTAAAAACAAAATTTTTTTCGGAAAACGCTTCATAAACATTTCCGTTAGTTGTTTGGATACGTAACTACCTCGTAACAGATACGTAACAATATCTTATATATAAATCCAGTTTACTCATTATTTTGAACCGTAAAACTTCTCTGGATATGTTTAAGGATCATACAGAAAAGTATATTTTAAATAATAAAATATATATATGTATAAAAATGTTGTCATTTATTTTAAGTTTATACACACACACACACACACCAACTTAAGATTACTACGTGCTTTATTAGTGGAGCATTCATGAAAGATTCGAGTTACTACTCCAAACTTCAGTTATGGAACCTATATGGTTGTAGACATAACCTCATTAGACAGACACATCAGATGTTGAAACAAAAATACATAAACAAAATTAGCAGAAAAACTTTAAGTAAAGTTAACGTAATTATAAAACTCCTGATAGTATAAAATAGATGATACTGTTACATCTCCGTTTGTTAATTGTATTTTTTTTGTAACTTTGTTCCGACGAAATTTTAACGACACAAGTCTTTACTTAATGAAACTGGTTTATTCTTTCCGAATATAACTTTACCGAAACACTCAACTTCAACAATCGCGCTAAAACAAACGCTATATCAACGAACGTCAATAATACTTCTGACTGCAGATCAATTACACACTATCTACCCAGACATTACATTCCCCTCTTTTATATACCAGCCTACCCTATATCTAGTAAGAACTAGAACATTCGCCAAAAGTACATGATAGTTCTAGAAACGTTGCGTCACAGTAGTCATGTGACTCGATGACGCAACAATACTAAAAATGGAAAATTATATAAATGTGAAATTAATAAGAGTATTATACTTCTATCCAGGAGACTTCTATTGGTGAATGTCCCCCAATGGCACAGCGGTATATCTGCGAAATTAGAACGCTAGAAACCGGGTTTCGATACCTCTGGTGGGCAGAACACAGATAGCCCATTGTGTAGCTTTGTGCTTAATTACAACCAAACTGTTGGTGAAAAACGTGTTTACGAAATTTTAATAATAAAACCTCACTTTTCAGTTTAGTTTAACTTTATATTTTTTGCCTATTAGTATATGTGGTTTTATAAATATAATGTCTAGAAAATGGAGATTGTAAAAAAGAAATCTGAATTGCTATGTTTCTCGTATATGTCCCGTTTTTAACTTCCTGTTATTCTTTCACTCAGAGCCTGACACGTGCTGTTTCCCATAAATTTCACTTCCTTTCGGTAATGTGACGTAATCAACTACGTAGTTATAAAGACAGATTTCCATTTTTTGTCTGGTGCTCTTTCGCTGAGTAATAGTGAGGAGGGGGGGGGGGAGGACTCAAGCCCCCTACTCTTCCAAAAGGGCCTTTTTTTTTCTCAGTCATAAAAAAATTGTCAACAACTTCTAAACTATACGTCTAATTCTACACACCTTGCTTGTTGCGAGACAAAAATATTTCAGCTTTAAAATGAATGGAACATAAGAACTTGAAGGTCTTTACAGTTAAAAAGAAAAAATAGCAATATACTATTTAAGTGTTAATACACAATAATTCATTGTTTAGTTTTAGATTTTAAAGTGTTTATAGAACAATCGAATAGAAATAAAAAATGGACCTGTCTGTTTTTTAACGCTATTTGTACTAAGGGAAACCCATAATATCCTCCTCTCTGCCACTCCACCCTCTCCCAGTGGCAACTTAACTTAATTTCCTCTATTTTACCTTCCTACCCAGAAAAAAAAATAAAGGCTTGCCTTACGGTACTTGAAAAGTACTTTTTTTTTGTCAATGAACCCCTGTCAAATTGCTATCGTGTAACCTAGCGTTACTGAAAAAAAACAACAGAAAATCGAAGAAAATATTCATAAACGTTTATTCGCACAGAGTGTGATCGAATCGCAAAGGATAAAATTTCCTTGTCTCTTGTTTACGACATATTTACAAGTTTTCCAAAATATAGGTTTGTTTTGACGAGTATCACTACTCAGTTAAAAAATATATATAATAAAATTTAGATTTTGAAATAAATAATTAACACTTTATACATCTCGAATCTGCTTGATATCTCGTTTCCCTCTTTCTCAACGATGGTTTTTATTATTACATGCTTCTCTGTAAAGTTCGTATTTTTTCATTCCTTGTATTGACTATTGGTTTAAATTGACATAACTTACCCCTAATTACACACTTGTTATTAAATAATGCCGATACTAATAACAACAAATAATAGAGCTCCATCTGGTGTTTGGTATGCTAGTAACATGTTAAATGCTTGAACTTGTATTGTTAATAAAGATATTTTAATGATAATAAAGGTATACAGCGCCATCTAACTTTTATTAATACTGATTCTCACTTGCTTTTGTGTGGCTTACACCATTGAAAACTTGGAACGGAACAACCAGTTCAACTCACTAGGTGATTCCTTTGGTAAAGAATGAACGCTTCAGACAGTGCTCGATTTGAGGGGTAGCGTTCTCCTTGTTAACAAAAAGAAAGAAAACCCAAAACCCTGACTGTCAAAATGCCCGATTGTGAAAACGTGCATCTGTAAGTAGATTTCAGGATTAAGATTATGACGACACTA